TTTGGACGCCAGGGCATCCCCTCGCTTAAAGGACGCCGAAATTCCCTCCGAATTATACCCAGCATTGTACGAAGAGCTCATTCTCAATGTCCGGAAGATGTATCACATTTGCAAACTTGTTCACGCCGATCTTTCCGAATACAACATTCTCTTTCACGGTGGACATCTTTGCATTATCGACGTCTCGCAATCCGTAGAACACGATCACCCTAGCGCGTTCGACTTCCTGAGGAGTGATATCAAGAACATCGAGGACTTTTTCGAAAGGTTTGGGGTAAAGTGCCTGGGTTTGAGGCGATGTTTTGATTTCATCACGAGAGTGCACGTAGTCGAGGAGGGGCAGGACGAGGGATCTGCTTTGAGGCACTGGCTCACAGAAGTCGACGAAGAACAACAAAGTTCCTCATCTATGGATGGAAGCAATAACAAGACCACTTTCTCCTCGAACACATCAGCTACTCATGAAGACAATATTTTCCGTCAATCATACATCCCCCGCACGCTGAACGAGGTATACGACGCTGAACGGGATGTGGAGCTTTTGACGAAGGGTGATGGGAAAAATCTGATCTACGCAGAAACTATAGGTTTGACGCATCCTACCTCTGGTGCGAGTCCGGAAGGTGAGGTCAGGCCACATGTACGCTTCAAGGGCGAGGAGGATGTGGATCTCGTTGACGAAGAATACACGAGCGACAGCGAGGAAGAGGGGAGTGAAGAGCCTGAGGCTGCTGAGGGGGGTGAGAAGAATGTCTTCGACCCTCGCAAACCTAGGGGCCACAGGCACGAAGATCGGGAGGCCAAAAAGGCAAGCATTTCGCTCTATCAAAAATTAAACATTGCTGATTTTCACTCAGGAACGCAAGAAAGCCGTCAAGACCGAAGCACGTGAGAAACGGAAAACTAAAATGCCCAAGGCAGAGAAGAAGCGCAAAACAAAAAGCTCGCGATGACACTAAAGGCCCCTTGGATATATCCTTTCATCTTCGATAGATTTATTTTATTTTCATTGAATGCTAGGTATAGAATATAACTGTTCTTAACCATCCGTGATGCACCCGTGGCTAGCGTCTTCGACCATTTTAACATACTTGTAGAGGGTTCCTTGGGTAACCTTGATTGGTGGGGCAACCCAGGCTTTCCGACGGCGTTCCATCTCCTCAGAGGAAATATGCAATTCCATGGTGTTTGCCACAGCGTCGACAGAAATGGTGTCACCATCCTCCACAAGCGCAATAGGTCCACCGACCTGTGCCTCAGGGACGACGTGACCTATGCAAAATCCATGAGATCTGATAGATATCCCATCAGTATACAAATCATCGTGAATGGGAATAGTACAAACCCCCCGCTAAATCGCCCGTCTGTGAGGCACGCGACGTCCTGACCTAGACCGGCGCCTATAATCAAGCTAGTGGGCTTCAGCATCTCACGCATACCTGCATAGTCCGAGTATCAATATTACCGTTCGGGTCAATCATACTATTCACTCACCAGGGCCACCCTTAGGGCCGAGGTAGCGCATGACGACGACTGTTTTCTCGCCCTTTTTGATTGAGCCAGACTCAACGGCGGAGACAAAGGCCTCTTCTGAGTCGAAGGTGCGAGCTTTTCCGGTAAACCCAAGACCCTCCTTGCCGGTAATCTTGGCAACAGCACCTCCAGGGGCCAAATTACCACGCAAAATTCTAGGGTCATTTGAGAAAAAGAGCTATTGAGAGATGGTAATGACGAACCTGATGTGTCCGGTAGCTTTAATGGGCTTATCGAGGGGGCGGATTACGTCCTGACTAGCAGAAAGTTCCCCGTGTTTATGTACCCAACGCTCTAGGTTCTCGCCTAGTGTGGCGCCAGTGACCGTCATGTTGTTGCCGTCAATGAAATTATTTTTCATCAAGAAATAAAGTATCTCTGTAGTTGAAGAAAAATTGTGAATAAGAAAATCACCATGGTAGTTGAATCACTGACTGGGTATGCCCCCGATTTTGTAGATGTCCTCCATGACATACTTGCCGCTTGGTTTGATGTCGGCGAGGAAAGGTGTTGACTCAGACACTCGTGCGAAATCATCAATGGTAAGCTTGATACCTACGGCGTGTGCCATAGCAATAAGGTGCAGGACGGCATTCGTCGAACCTCCTAGGATCATGATGAGAACCTGAAACTCAGTATGAGTGGTTGTAGAAATTGAAACAAAGCATGGCAGACCATAGCATTCTCGAATGCCGAGCGCGTCATGATGTCGCGGGGAAGAATGTTTTTCTCGATGAGATTTCGCATGGCGGGACCAATAGTCTTGCATTCATCGTGTTTTTCTTGAGATTCGGCTGGATACGACGAAGAACCAGGAAGGGTCATCCCAAGGGCCTCAGCTGCACTGGCCATAGTGTTCGCCGTGTACATCTGCCAATATGTGAATAAACTATCGCTGGATTGGGTACAGTGGTACTAACGCCTCCACAAGCACCTGGGCCAGGACATGAATGTCGTACTGTCTCATACCTGACGGCTTCTGCTTCTGGCGTTTTGCCATTTTGTAGGTATTTTCCGTACGCCTCGAATGCAGAAACAAGATCTAGCTGAGGTTGACCCGCACATGAACCCGCGCGAATTGTGCCTCCATACACCATGAGACCCGGACGGTTGATTCGTCCGACTATACAAGTATGATAACGTGTCAGTGCGCGTGGTGGACCTAAACAAGTACCTCACTCACGAGCCATCAGCACACCCGGCATATTCTTGTCACATCCCGGCACCACAACCATTCCATCCAACCAGTGTCCGCCAGCAGCTGTCTCTACTTGATCTGCAATAAGGTCGCGCGACTGCAGAGAGTATGACATTCCCGCAGTGCCCATGCTAATCCCATCGCTGACACCAACTGTGCCGAACTGGTAGCCAATTAGGCCAGACTCGACCAAGGAACCCTTGATTTCCTGCCCCAAGCCAAGCAAGTGTCGGTTGCATCTGAAAGCACCTCAGGCAAAGATACACTTATTGCATACGTTCTTCCTTACGGGTTGCCCTCATACCTTGACCAATCATAGTCAATGGAATAGCCACGGAAGAATTTGATTGCTTCAACACTCACCATACACTAGCGACACCGACCATGGCCTTTTGAAAGTCCTCCTGATCTTTGATACCTTCAGTAGCGTACAGCATGGCCTACGAATATCAGTTTCTTCAACATTCCTCGCCCGGCTCAAATGACTCACTTGACTTGCACCTTGGTCTTTAGGTTGCGTGACAGTCCTGCTATAGCGGTTCATGATGGGCTTGTCTTCGCATCTTGCAGGAGACGACCACAGTGATCTTGTTTGCCTCGCAAGGCCCCTGCTAACCGAGAGTCTCGAATGCATCGTTTCGATCTGCTCGACAACTCGACTCGGACAAAGTCGAAATAAAAAAATATATCGACCCCCCGATTTGGCAGCTTACGGAGATAGACTGTGCCGTAACTATGTTAACATGCCGCACTTTTGAGCAGCAAGAGCGATGATTTCAATCGAGACGTGCATGCAGTACTGCTATGTCTCGGATGTTTTTTTTTACTAGATCCTGAGCCATAAGTTCCATGGAGAAACCATGCATGCGCTTGTCATAATTTTTTTTTCGACCGTCCCCACGGACCACGGTATTTGAATTCTGAGTTGGTGAGTCCGAGTCAGCGCAATTCGCGTGAACTGATCATGATAACACGGTTCACGACCGTATAATTTTGTGGGAGTGCAAGTGGTGCATAGGGCCACCTCGAAGACATAGTGCTATCATGATATTAAACTTTGTGGCCTACCGGTAAGCAGGTCCGTTTTGTACAAGTATGGAAAGGCTCATCCTCCTCGCCGATCATGTTTCACTTTTGTCATCCCCTCGATACTGAAAAATCATAGAGTTAGGGTCAATTGTAAGCTCCCGACAATAATGGTCAGTCAAACTTGTATGTTTGACTCCGGAGTTGGACGCGGCGTACGGGCCCATTGATTGAAGATTCCTTGGCGGTGTGTTGGCGATCTGACACCTTCTGACACCAGCGTATATCACGAGTATCCAAAGGGGGGGAGAACAAAATTTTCCATGAATTTAGACTCTGGTACGGGGTTTTTTGGAGTATCTGCATTATCTGGATGTGGATCCAGTTGTTCCGCCATTCCGCCTCAAAAAATCTGAGCCATGCCATAGCGGATGTAAACTTATTCCAGCGGATTTTTTTTCCGTTTCTGTGCTCGTCTTCCCTTCGCGTGCCCAACGCTTTCGCCATCAGAGCATATTTCGCTAATGGCTCTCAGTAACATCCTCATTTCTCAACAATCCGAGCGCTGCTGAAAGAAGCAACCCCTGCAATACCGTTGCACCAACGCTTCCCCCGCAAGTTCACGTTCTGCGTAGATTGCTAGGAGAGAGGTATGGATGACAGAGATGACGATAAGTTATCAAGTTCGCTCCCACAAACATTACACGCACACATAATACGTCCCAACGATCCACATGTGCTTGCCGATGAGGCGTCCTGGAGTGCCCAAGACAGACATCTTGTCCAGCGACAGGCTTCCCGCTTCATTTCCCAGTCTATATCGTCGCTGACTCCTGCGACCTTTCCAAACAGCCATGGTTCACGAGGAGAGTCATCACACGATAGATCAGTACCACCAGATGTAGAAGAGAGTGGATATGTTTCCCAACGCATTCAAAACACCTCGGCTGGCCGGAGGGGAGCTTTTGCCACTGGCTTCGCGCAACATTATAGGGCATTTCCAGCTCAGGGCAATCGAATTCCAGGCAGCGAGACACCCTTCTACCTTCATCCTCCCTATGCGTACCCCCCTTCCCCTTCAAGTCAAAATCATGCGTCACCGAGCCCATTTCAAGGTAGGGCAGGTCTCTCGTCGTCGTCCCACACGGTTGGAAGGCCCGGAGGTAGCAGTCGCACGCCAGAAGAGAATCGAAAAGAAGACGACAGCGACGACAGTGAGCAGATAACACGCGAGGTCACGTCCCTCGATCATGTACAAGAGATCTATTTGGGCAGGTATTTGACCTCACAGCCAAGACCAGTGCCCATTTCGTCCTTCTTTCCAAGGGACGTGACTAGCAGTCGTGAAGATAGCCCCTACCTGTACAGTGGACCTCACTGTGAGTCCTTGATGATGTTTGAAAAAATACTGTAAATTCTGATTTTTCCTTGAAGCATATGATGATTCTAGTTACCTACAACCGCCTTCGCATCACCTTGAGTCAACTACCATCCGACATCAATCACTTCCTTCTCAACGATGGGAGGAGCGCAGTCGCTCTGGGTCCTCTAGCAATCGATATGCACCAGGAACGTCGTTGGATGATCGCCCGATTCAGAGGGCGTCCTCGTATTCTCTCCCTCCAATTAGAACTTTCATGCGGCCACTCAGGCAAGAGTACTCTGACAGAGGACCACAGTCATTCTCACACGGTCTGCTTGATGAGACACGGGAAATTTTGCCTCCAGAAGTATCAGTGGAGGACACAGAGTCCAGTAACGAGAAACCGACGTATAGGCGAGGCAAGAGAAAGCGATCAGACAGTCAGGATGAAAGGAAGACCAAAGTGGTGCGCAAAATCTACGTTGCGTGTGATTTTTGCCGAGGTGAGTGAATACCTTTTGCGGGGACTGCTCAAGAACTTCACCTCCGATTGGCCCCCTAACTTTACAGGGCGGAAACTTCGATGTGACGGGACCAAACCTTCCTGCGCTAATTGCTCCACCCGAACCTTGAAATGTGTATATAAGGACCATCCCAGACGTCGCGGCCCTGGAAAGGCACCGAAAGGCTCGCGGACCAAGAAATCAGAAGGGAAAGGTCGAAAGGGGAGGAAAAGTTCTAAAGCGGCCACAAGTGAAGTTGATAAGGAAGGATCAGAACAGCCTTCAGCTGCAGCACTCCCAGATCGGCATGTATTTGAGCCACCGATGATGTTACCGAATCACGGTTACCCTCAGTTGCCTGGGCTGGAGGCTGTTTATGCGCCACTGCCCTACACTGATCGTCCAAGTGCTTCGAACGTGCATCACGAAGAATCGGAACTAATCCCACACTATCACTTTACGAGCGGTGTGATCGATCAAGGAGCAGTGGAGAGCCTCCGGCCACTCTGGGGACGAGAGGAAGAAGACAGGCGGTCAGCGGAGTCAGGACATCCATTACCTCCTGGGTCGCGGAAGGGTGGTGATACAGACGATGAGGAGACGAATTAAAAGCCAGGCGAGGTGTTGACCGACCGACGCAGGCGGAGAGTGTAGAGGATCGGCACCCACAACTGTCCACGGCGTTATGTCCCGGCGGCGCACTGCTTATTACGTATTCTAGAGATCGGATACCTCTTTACATATCGTTGCTACGCTCTTTTCTTGGTGAGCGTCTTTTTTGAATGGGCTCTCTCACGTTCTGTTGACGAGAAATGAAGTCTAGATGCGAATGTTGTTTCGGAATCACCCTCTTTTCCGTGGCTGAGCCATATCCGCCGTACCCTATTTCCTTGTTTCAATCCTGATGCTGAGATAATCTAGTTTAATTTTCTCAGCTGCAGATTATGTTATGTTGATTTATTTCTGTGATATAACTCGTTTGCTTGTTCAGATCCAAATAATAATTGAATATTTCAACAAAAACGGAAATAAATGATTCAAATTTACAAGGATTCAATTCAAGTCGGAGGAATAAACTTGGCTGTAATGAACCCGATTGGTTCGGTGCATGTAGATTTCAGGCTCGGCTCCGTTAGCTTCCCTCTTTTCTGGAATTTCGGTGTTTATCATCCCCGCGCTTGCCTCACCTCGCGGGCAAACCCTCGCTCTGTCTCCCCCGAACGGACATTCGATTCGTCCGTCATACTCACGATGCCGCTCGTCGTCGACAATGGCGAACAACGCATCACGAACGACGACGACGACCGTATCCCAATCCCTCCTTCCGTTCAGTCCGTCCCAGGGGCCACTCATTCGTATTCTTCTAATGGTCTTGTCCCCGGAACAGTTGGCAACGGCCATGATCCTCACTCCAACGGCTTAAACGACTTCAGTGGCTATACAGTTATGGTCGCTGGTCAGCGCACCGGCAAGACTTCATTTCTACGTCTTCTCTTGGACACCAGTGAAATATCCTCAGCTGCCACCAAGGACCAGCTCGCCTCCGTCGCAAAGTTTGTACAGGGTTCCAGCGGTCATACATCCCACATACGCACCGCATCCATCAATATCGACCATGATATTGACCAAAATAGTACACCTCAGGTCCTTACTCTCACGCTCGTGGATACACCTTCTTTGACCTTCGAGGACGAAGCTTCCACCGAGCGGGCTATTCATGAGATACTCAGGCATGTCGAATCCAGATTTGCTGATGGCATCGAGGATGTACGTTTTACCCAGATTCCTTTCCTACATTATATTGAACCCCATTTTTCGGTGCAGGAGTGGAGATCCCCAGCGGGTGACAACAACATCCATTTGTGCGTTGCTGACATGGGCGCTTAGTCACCGCGTCACTGTGAACTGACCCACGGACCAGGTGTATATACTTCTTGGATCCCGACGTGATTGTTCCGCCTTCTGTGCCAGGACCTCCTGCTCCCTTGGTCACTCGGACTCGGGGCAGTAGTTTCTCTGTCACAGAGCCGGAGCCCGTCATCCTCGAGCCCCCTGTCACCAACAATCCGCTCCTATGCCGCCCTTCCCTTCCTCTTAGCGAAATTAACACCATCAGGCGGCTTTCTGCTAGAGTCAATGTGCTCCCTGTAATTGCTCGTGCAGACACGCTTACCAACGACCGCCTTGCGGCCGTCAAAATGGCTGTCCGCCGAGATCTCGCGGAAGCCGGCATTGGCTTCGGAATCTTCGATATGGACTCCCATGCGCAGTACCAGCACCGTAAAGATGCGGCTGAATCTGCGCACCCTGTAAAGGGTGAAATGGTGAATGGTTACAGTGGGCATACAAATAAGTCTTCGCCGCATGGACATCCTTCGCCTCCGAATTCCCCAGCAGTAGCGTCTCTCAAACTCCCATATGCTCTTATCTCACCCGATATCTACTCGCATAGTGATGGCGTAGCGAGAGTGCCCCTATCACGTCATGAGCTTGTACAGCAATATGCTCCTTTGGTTCTTCGTCACACCGCTTCTAAACTGACGCGTGGCAAATTTATCAGAAGCTATCGGTGGGGATCTATGGACGTTCTAGATCCTGTTCATAGTGACTTCATGCCGCTGCGCGCTGCTATATTTCATCACATGGAGGTAGGCATTTCAGGTGCCCAACTTTTGATGTCACCATTAAAATTAACCTCGGTCTAGACGTTGCAGAAATACACTCGAGAATATCTTTTTGAAAAGTTCAGAAACGAATACCTGCTTCAGCACCATTCTGCTAACCACCAGCTTCACCCCCATGCCATACAACAAGCAGTCCCGCGTACTTCTGTACCTCTTACGCATGCTCCTCGCCCTGTTTTGACTATTGAGACTCAGCCTGGCCATGGTTCTGTTCGACATCCCCCTCTTCCCATGGCCCGCGACATTCCTCCTGGGGCGGATTTGCGTGGGCCACCACTTTCCCGTCCGATGACAGAAGGTACTTCTTCACAGCTTCAAGGCAAGACAGCGTCTGGGAGTAAGTCCATGCATGGGCTCCTAACTCAGATAATTTGTGCTTATTCTGAACAATAGGATCTTCCAAGCAGAGGACTAAGAAGATTACAGTGGCATGCAATTTTTGTCGATGTATGTAGACTCCGCCCTCCCTTGCGGATTCAATACTCAGGACGCTCTCTAGCCCGAAAACTCAAATGTGACGGGGGACGCCCTGCTTGTAGCCAATGTGTCAAGCGGTCCAACCTTTGCGATTATATGCCACAAAATAGCAAACGGCGCCCTCTTAACCGTCCAACTAAGGAGGATAGTGAGTCTGAGATAAGTGGCGAAGACCGATCCGAAGACAACGATCCTTCGGTATCTCCCGAGATCGTTTCCCAGCCACTATCTCGCAGGAGCTCCAACGTCGTTGATAAGCGGCCAATACTAGATGGCTTCTCGGCCATCGCTGGCCCATCAGAGCCCCGCGAAGGTCTTCATAGCATGCCCCCCAGGCCTAAGTCTGGCATAACTACAGGAAGTTCGGGGGTCTCCGATGGACGGACGTTGTTCAAAGACAATGAGTTACCCCATATCGCAACTTTGTCGCTACCCGAGAACTCCCCTGCAGCTGCGATGAGTGCTCCCCCGCTCCCGCCTATTAGACCAGCCTCAGAGCAACAGGCTGCTCAGCGAAAACGTGCATCCACTGTTCCTGGGAGGAGCAATCGTCCTGCTGCTAGCACTGGTCCGAAAGTGGTGGCATGCAACTTCTGTAGAGGTTGGTTCGTCCAGCATCGTGTTATCATGGACTAATTTAAGCATCATATGTAGCGAGGAAGACGAAGTGCGACGGAGCGCATCCAGCCTGTTCCAGCTGTGCGCGAAGGTCCCTCCCATGTAACTACAATCACGATTCCAGCACCAACGGCGTGAATAAAAAGGGGACTCGACGTGCCTCTACTTCCAAGGCAAATCCCCCTCAAGCACACCTTTCTTCCGTGCAGTCACCTCCCTCCCACTCCCCTCCTTCTTCAACGGTTGTCGGCGACTCTCGTTATTCTGCCGGGAAGTCCTTTGAGGACAACCAAGGAGAGCCTATGGATGTCGATCTGAAGAGAAAGATGGATGACATGGAGCCTTCGCATATTCAAAAGAGAATGAGGGTGGATGAAACCAGCGGGGACGTTATACCCTGAGCACCATCCATTGATCACCCCTCATCATCACTCCCCCTGACCAAACCGGGTGTAAACTGTAGAATTAGCTCGCATATGCACTGTCCCTTGGGAAGCTTGGAAACTGTCGTTGAACGTTATGTTTTTTGGGTTATCTCCAAGTGTTCTTGTCTTGTTTTGTGCATGGACTGTGATTGCACTGTATTTTTTCTCCTTTGCTATTCTCGTTTCGGGCGCCAATGTTTTCTCTTCGATATAGCTATCGTCGACCATTGTATGTATGTCAATTCAAGTTGGGGAATTAAACTCAAGCTCAAGTTTGGATAAACGTTGGAACTCGTTGTGCTATTGCCATTGGTGGGAATTCTAAGGGCCTGATAGCCTATCAACCAGCGCGGGGTTGCCATGGGCTTGTGATTCTGTCGAAATATGTATTTGACTTATCCTTAACACCAAAATTGCCGTTGAAACGGGAGCCCAGTTGCCTCCCGTGGCCTGTAGACCTTTCTCTTTGGCTGTAAACTGGCATTGCTATATCCTACACGTTCTTTACTCTACCAGTGTTCATACCCCCACACTGTCTCACTCTCACTATTCTTCCATTTCCTGTATCTCATCATGTTTTCTTTTCGCCGAAGGCCCAGAACTTCAAACTCCACGGGGTCACCACTGAAAAGCTCTCCCTCTTTGCCTGAGCTGCATTCTCAAGGCATTCCATGGCCGCAAAACTTGGTAGATGTCACGGTGATACATGAAGGTCCCCTTCCAGAGCCCGAACGTTATCCCCAGCAAGGTGCGGTCAAAAGCTTTGTATCCTGCTCCGATCGTGCCCCCATTCCGTTCCACAAACCATTTCGGTTAATTGCAGGACAACCGGCGGAAAATGGCAGCAAGATTTCGTCTATGTATATGTCTCATCCCCCGTCTGCGTTCGGTAATTGGAGATCTTCTACCGTTCCTGTCTTGTCGCCACGGCGATCTCACCGTAAAAACCGTGCATCACCTGCATTCAACCTCATGGTATGTTACCACATCGATCTCCCAAAATTGATTGAACTACGACGCGTCAACCAGGTCGTAGGAGCAAGAGGCACAGGAAAGACTTCGTTCTTGCGTTTACTTCTCGAAACTGCAGATATATCGCCAAATGCGACAGAAGACCAGCGTGTGGGCTTGGATCGGTTTTTAAATGGTTCTCTGAAGCATACACAGCAAATTAACACGGCGCGTGTTGAGATTTGCGAGTCGCGATATGACCGAGTGCTTCTGACCGTCATTGATACCCCCGGGCTGGATTTCAGCGACGGACACGAGTTGCGGGTTGAACGCCAGGTCAGTGGGATGATCAGGTATCTTGACGCGCAATTTGCAGATACGATGAATGAGGTATATCACGCAATCTTGTTCTTTCGAAGCTGTTACTTAATAAATATATAGGAGTCTAAAGTGGTCCGTCAAAGCAAAGGAGATCAACATGTTCACTTGTAAGAATTTTGTCATGTTAACAATTATTGATTCAAACGTTCTGGATCTAGGTGTATCTTTATGGTTGATCCCTCGTCTATTTTGTCACCGTCACCTCGCATCCAATCCCCTATGTCGGGCAGAGCCCGGTCAGATACCACGGTTTCTCGTACTACCGTCGGAGATATCCAAGAAGCCATTTATAATCAAGAATATTCCAGAGACTTCGCAATGTCCCCCGCTGAGCTTCGCGTGATCCGTCGTCTTTCGGCACGGGTGAACGTGCTTCCTGTTATTGCACATGCGGACTCACTTACAGATGACACGTTG